GGGACATAATCCTCCATGTGTTTATATTTTCACATTGCTCTTATGTATTCATAAACCACTGCATTAAAACTGCAGTTTACATGGTTTTCGATTTTGAAATCAAAGTATATATCACACTGCATATCATAGATCACTATTTTTTTTTCATTTAACATTGTATTTTACAGGTGACATAAGTAGCTGTGTCTAGACTGAGTTTGCTTATTGTACCTGTCAGGGTTCGGACATTCATTCCACACTTTAGTGTGGCCCAGCCCCTCAGAAGTCCTTTATCCCTTTTGTCATAAAGAGTGCTGCAATAAACATCCTGTATGCAGCTCCCGGTGCACATGCTTAAGAGACACTTCATGGGACAACAGCTGGGAGACCAAAGCTGGGCTTTCACCTTACTAGATGGTACCAAGTTGTTTTCTAAATGGAGCAGTTCTAGCCTTCTCTTTTCATCACACTGGTAACTGTTAGGTTGCTTAATGTTTGCTCATTTCACTGTCACTGTCCTCCCATTGTTCATCGATTTGCTCAAATGGGCCCAGTAACATTGTGAGACTCGTTACTGTGTTTGGCATATCCAATACGTCACGGGTAGCTTGCCAGGCTTTGCCGTGCGGGCGAGATACTCTTTGTAGCTTGCCGGGCTCTCCGAGAGGGGCGGAGGAATCGAACTTGGGTCAGCCATGTTGGCTGCATGCAAGGCAAACGCCCTACCCATTGTACTATCGCTCCAGCCCATTTGCTCATTTAATAAGTGTGAAATGTTTCATAGTTATTTGAACATGCCTTTTCCAGATGACCACAGAAAGCAGACACCTCTCTTATGTTGACTACTATTGTTGCCTCTTCTGCTAAATACCTGCTCAACCATCTCACTCGAAATGCCAGAAAAAGGCATCTACTATGTAGAGGAGATGACAGCTCTAGCATCTGGGAAAGAGGCTAGGACTAAGAGGGGCTTGCCTAAATGAATGGTTTGCATTCCAGAACAAAAGCATCCGCACCCCAGCCAGGCTTCACCACAACGTAGGTGAAATTAATGTTTGTTACAGATTACATGTTCTTGTAACATGTTTTAATTTGGTTCAAATTCTGCTATAACTGTGATTCATGATGCCAGGGGAAAGGGGGAAGCAGAGCCTGTGACTTTAAATAAAGAAGAGGCCCTTTGCACAGAGTCTAGAGGGATTTATAAACAGAGAATTGTTTGTCCTCTTGGCAGTCTAACAAGCAAGGACACACATACACAGACACAAACCAGCACTGATGGCCTTCACTATCTGATTCCCAATCAGAAAACGAAGGAAGGGAGAGGAGATGGTAAATAGTACAGTGGGTAAAGTGTTTGCCTTGCATTCAGTAGAACCATGTTCAATCCCTGGCACCACAAAGCCAGGAGTGACCCCTGAGCCCAGAACCAGGAGAAAGTCCTGAGCCCAGCTGGGTACAGTCACTGCAAAAAAATAAAAATTAAATGGAAAGAGGAATTAACAGATGTTATCATTCTGAAATACCACAAAGAGAACAGGTAATGGGTTTGCCTTACATGTGGACAACTCAGATTCAATCCCAGATGGTCCCCACATACTGCCAGGACAAGCCATGAGTGATCCCAGAGCACAGAAAGGAAGGAAGCCCTGGACACAGCAGTGTGACCACCGCCCTCCTCCCTGAATAACCCAAAGGTCTCTGGCCTGAGAAAGGCACATATATTTTGGGGAGTAGGAATTTGGGAATTCTTACCCCAGTGGTGCTGAGGGACTATTCATGGCTTTTTGCTCAGGAGTGACCTCTGGAAGTTCTCAGGGGATGGATGCAGTAGAGGGATTCAAACTTGGGGTGTTGGCATGCAAACCACGAGCGTTAACCCCTGTACTATCTGCCTGACCAAAAATGTTATATAATAACCATTTTTATGTAAGGCAATCTTTTTTCTTTTTTATCTTTTTTCTTTATTTGCAAAGGGATTTTAGAACCACATTTTATAGATATTTGCATTTTGTCTTAAAGAGAAGTGAACACAATTTTTATCTGTTCATCATTCATCTGAAAGTTGAACACTGTGGGGAATCCAAAGATCATATTTCCAAGGATTGAAAAGCAATTCTCCTATGTGGACATTGAGGTAACTTGCAAGAATGTACATGCTGGTATAAATAATAATGTAAGAAAATAGTTCCTCTAAAGACCTTTAGTTTTTGCAATGTGATTTGTTCTCTTATTTGAATTTGGATGTATTTGAAGCAAAGGAGTTAAAATTGTTCTAGAAATAAAAATAATGGTCCCAGAATGGCCAGAAAGATAGTGTAGTTTTACAAACTGAGTCCTTCCAGAAATGACCCCCGAGCCAGGAGTAAGCTCTGAGTACGAAAAAGGTGTACCCCACACACAAAAAGGAAATTCATTAACCTCCTTCCAGTTTCTTTTGCCCCAGAAGAACAGAACTCACTTCTTCGTGTGGGAAATGCTCCCCCAAAGAAAGATGACAGCCTCAAGAGACAATTGTGCAGTGCACCCCAATTCATTCCCCTCTGTAGTTCAGTTCTCTGAACCCAAACAACTTGCCCACAACATACTTGGTAAAGATGCCTTGGGGGCTTCCGCTAATCCTAACTGAGAGGTGTTAGGCCATTTGAATCACCTTCTCAAGAGAGTAGTTAAGTTCTCACAACCACGGTTGAGGATTTGCTTCTGCCTGGACTACGCTGTGTCTTCCAGAGGCACAAGGCAAACTGGTCATCCCACACTTCCAACATAAACAGTCCTTCGCTCTGGCACTGAAGACCTGGGCTACCATGGCAGTACCAGTGATCAGCCTGCTCACTGCCTCTTCGCTCTTTTTGCCAAACTCAAACCACATGGGCCAACTATAAACAAAAAAGTAAGGACATTTACAAGTCTTCAACTCAAGGCACTCAAGGAAAATTTGTCCCTGGTGGGTGAACATCAGGCTAGGCAAGTAATGATGCAAGACAAGAAGGTAGACTGGAAGGATGGGAAGTGGGACTGCTTGTGGGAGTTATGTTCCTGGAATTATTGCTAAGAAATGGGAAAAAGAAAAACTTTCTCAAAGAAGTAGTGTTACAACATGTAACAGTGTTTCAATCTTTAACAACATATTAGTGGACACTTAGAGCACTCTTTCCTCTAAGAATACTTTTTTCCTAGCTTTATCAGCAGATTTTTCATAACAATACAAAATATATTTTTTTGGTTCTGTTTGGGGCAGGGATTGGGGTTTGGGATAGAAACATCCGAAATATGGTGGTGTAATTGGTGGTGGGATTGGTGTTTGAAAGTGTAATGGTGGTGGGATTGGTGTTTGAATATTAAATGTAATCAAATATTGTGAACTACTTTATAAAATAAAAAAATTAAATAAAAATAAGAACTAAAAAAAAAGTCTCATTTGGTTAGGACACAGGATTAAAAAAAAAAAAAGAAAGTAGCATTAGTAGGGAACATCAGGCCTCAGAGCTCCAGTTCTGTTCTCTCAACAGTAACTACTTAGGATTTAGCAAGAGCACTTCCCCCCAGTCCCAGGGAAAATGTACTGAAAGTTAAAATCAAAAACTTAAAAGGAGGTACAGGATACTGCATATTTGTGAACTGAGAATTTGTTTGGCTAGAGAAAAACTGACTTCATCTAACAGTCCAACATTTTCAGGGCTGTTTCTGACTGGTGATAAAATCAAGTAAACTTTTGAAGACTTGAAGATAAAAGGGTAACGACTGACCAATCAGTGGTACTCAGGGCTTAGTCCTGGCTCTATGCTCAAGGATCATTCCTGGGGACTCAAGGGACAACATGGGGTGCCACAGACAGAATCCATGCAAGGCAAATACCCTGCCTGCTGTCCTATCTCTCTGGCCCCATCTTTTCTTTTTATAATGAAGGCCATGCCTTTGGCAGTGTAGCAGAAGTGGGGATGGGCGGTGGGGAGACCAAAGGGCCAAAACCAGTAGTACTGGCAAGGGGTCACGTGGTGCTGGAGCATGCACTCAGGGTCTAGTGTATACCAGGCATGTGTTCTGCCACTTGAGTTCCCTCCCTGGCTCCCATGAAAGGTTTAAGTAACTGGTGCATTGGTAATTACATCATGACCATTGGTCTCTGCCTCAGAAACACTCATTACACATTACTTGCAATTACCTGAATGCCTACCTTTCCCACCCAACCAGTAAGCAAGAGTGACAGAAAGGAGACAGACTAGCGCTAGTGATGCTCAGCCCATCAACACTCACTAGAATAACTTGGATGAATGAGTAAAACTACTGACACAGAATGGTACTGATGAAGGATTTGTGAATGAAACGCTTGTCTGATATGGAGAGTTGAATAAATGAAGCATTTCTGCGAGTGAAGGAGTAGTTCTAAGGGCGTTCCATACCCTTTGCATACTTCTAAGGGCGTTCTATACCCTTTGCATACCCTTTGCATACGGAATCTCTTTCGGTTGGCGTGAATGAGCAGGTTCAAAGACTTTGTACAGCCAGACGAAATACCTTCCTATGAGCACACATCCTAGGTGTCACTATTGTGTTTACAGAAGTCTCAACCAGAAGGCGCTCTGAGCTCTGAACTTAAGAGTAGGAAGACCCATAAAAAGTCTTTGGGCGAGGGAGGCCCGTCCAGCCCGGGAACTGATGTTAACAGTGGGTGCTGGAGGAGGCCGCTGTGAAGCCCCCTTAGTCCATGGGTCACTGGGAGTCCCTGTGTTCTAGATTCCGAGGTGCGGGAGCGACAGGTACGTTTCCTTTACTGCCGCAGGCAGCTACGGACAACAAAGGGGCTCTGCAGTCCTTAGTGACCCGTTTCTAGGCTTGGAATCCCCCCCGGTCCCCCCCCCCCCCACACACACACCCCGCTCCCGCGCCCTCAACACACACACGCTCCTTCCCCTGGGGAGCGTGGGGGGCGGACCGGCCCGGGGAGAAAGGGGAGGGGGAGGGGGACACGCACACGGAGCCCGCGGGCCGGCGGCGCCCCCCGCGCGGGCGGGACTCACCTGCAGCAGCACGGCCAGCAGCAGGCACAAGTAGCCCTGGTAGATGCCCAGCCCGCCCGCGGCCCGGAAAGCCTCCTCCAGCTCCATGGCGCGCGCGGCGGGGCGCGGGCGGGCGCTGGGCCGGGGCGCTGGGCCGGGGCGCGGGGCGGGCGGGGCGGGCGGGGCGCGGGCGGGCGGGGCGCGCGGGGCTGGGGACTAGGCCGGGGGGCGGCGGGGCGGGCGGGGCCGGGGGGGGGGCGGCGCGGAGGCGGGTGGGGCCGGCAGGGGCCGGAGGACGTGGCCGGGGCGGGCGCGGGGACGTGGCCGGGGTGGGCGCTGGGGACGTGGACGGGGGCGCGGTGCCGGGCGGCGCCACCGTTCGCGCTCTGGGTGCGTAGCGCGGGGCTCTCCCGCTCTGCCCGCCCGGGCGTTGTGACCCGTCCAGGCTGGCAAACATCCTAGTTCCGTATTTGCAAAGTGCAAGTAGGTGCTTGTGCAGGGCGGGACGGGCGCGAAGGGAGCCAGGCGGAGCCTGACCCTCGGACGGCGGGGGACGCGCCAGGGACTGGGGCTGCCGTGGTCGCCCCACTGGGAAGCAGGAGGGATTTCTTAAACCCTAAGCGAACTGTCGCCCCCCACCACCCATCTGGGAAGCAGGAGGGATTTCTTAAGCCGTCCACGAACCGTGTGCAGGCCCCACTTTTCTTTTCTCAGAATATTTATATCTCATTCTTTCCAGTCTCTCCAGGGCCCTCGTGCACTTTAGTCTTTTTTAAAAACCAGTTTTTATTCTTTTTATTTCTACAATTCGCTTTTCTATTTCCTGGATTCTAGAATTATTCAATATAATTATATAATTTTAATATAATTTTATGTCTTTTCTGTTTGCTTGTTTTTACTTTTGTCGCTCTGTAATTTTTTTGACTAAGTACACATGATTTGAACGTTTAGCTTATTTCAACTTCCTTTCTTAAGAACAATTATGTTTGAAACTATGTTTGAGACTTTCCCTGTAAGTACTTCTTTGCTCTGTCCCAAGTTTGACATGCTGTACTTTCACTGTCTTTTAGTTTTCAAAATTCCATGACATCACAATTTCTTTTTTGACCAATAAGGAAGCGCTACCTACGGGAAGAAAATAGTTTCCTTTCACTATTAAAAGTTACTATGTTTGTTTGTTAGTTTGGGGGCCATACCTGGCTGGTGCTCAGGGCTTACCCCTGACTCTATGCTCAGGGATCACTTCTGGCAGTGGTTGGGGATCCACTTGGGGTGCTGGAGTTCAAACCTGGGTCACCAGCTTCCAAGGCAAGCACCTTACCTGCTGTATTATCTCTATGGCCCCTTATTATTTTTCAAATTTTTATAAGTTTTTAAGAGTATTGATTGAATCAGTCATTTCATCGGCATCAAAATAGCTCTTTTCTCTTTCAATGCTTTTGGTCTTAATTTATATTTTAATATCAGTGTTTCTACATAAGATTTGTTGTCAATAATTTCTTTGTAATTTTAATTTTTTAAAAATTTTTATAAGTGAAAAAATATGGAACTATTCACGAATTTGCGTGGCATCATTGCGCAGCGGCCATGCTAATCTTCTCTGTATGGTTCCAATTTTTGCATATGTGCTGCCGAAGCGAGCACGTAATTTTAAAATTTTCATCTTTCCATTTTCCTCCTGTTCAAGGCCTGTGTGGAGAGGGAGGATATTTTCCCCCCAAATCCAGTTTGACAGTCTCCATCAGTTACAAAGTTGTTCATGATTGGGTTTCAGTCATACAATGTTCCAACACCCATAGCTTCACCAGGGTACATTCCAACCACCAATGTCCTCAGTTTCCCTCCTGTCACCACCTCCTAAGCCTGCCTTTATGGCAGGCACTATTCTTTCTCTCTCCCTCTTTCTCCTTTTGGGCATTCTGGTTTGCAACACAGTAGTAAAGGTTATCTGCATTTTCCTTTACATTCTTTCAGCATTCAGTTCTTGTCCAGAGTGATCATTTCCAACTATCATTGTCATAGAGATTCCTTCTCTGTCCTTACTGCTCTCCTGCTCCCTACCCCACCCTCACTTGTGGAAAGCTTCCAACCATGGACCAGTCCTCCAGCCTGTCTTTTAAGAGATCTGTTAAATTTGTTTGTATTCATTGTGAGTGTCCTGTTTGGAATTATTTCTACCATTTTTTTTGGTGTTTCTTGTTTACCATCTTTCTTCTGTCTTCAAAGTCATCTCTTGGATTCTAAAATGTTCCCACTTTCCTCTCTACTGCAGAAGGAACTACAGAAGGCACTGGCATTCTTACACTTGAACATCCACATTACTCTGAACTTTCCAACAGTGCTTGGACTTACTTGACATTCTATTCTCTTTTCAAACTCATAAGAACCTGCGTGCAGTTCAACATGTGCTTTATCTGAGAAAATGTCAGATATACAAGCTGGTGAGATGATACAGCAGGCAGGTACTTGCCATGTGCCCAGCTGACCAGGGTTCAATCACCAGCGGCCTACATGGTCCCCAGAGCCTTCAAGGAGTGAGTGATCCCTGAGTGCAGAGTCAAGAGTCAGGTCTGAGCACAGCCGGATGTGGCCAAAAACCAAAGGAAAAAGAAAAGAAAATGTAGACATAAAAGATGTCTTCTTCTAGAAAGCTAATTAGGTGACTTTTGTCATGTCAAAAAAAAATTTCATTGTTAAGAAACGTTATCCTAGGTTCAGAGTGATAGAACAGCAGGTAGGGTACTTACTTTGCACGTGGCCAATCTGGGTTTGATTCCTGGAACCCCATATGGTCCTCTGAACCCCTGTTAGAAATAATACTTGAGCACAGAGCCAGGAGTAAGCCCTGAGCACTGCTAAGGAAGGAGGGAGGGAGGGAGGGAAGGAAGGGAGGGAGGAAGGGAGGGAGGGAGGAAGGAAGGGAGGAAGGGGGAAAAAGTTATCCTGCACTTGAAAATAGCCAGAAAGCAAGAAGAGAACTACAAGTTCTTTCAACGTAGTAAAGCAGCATTGATTTTCAAGTCCATGTTGCACAGGATCATTCAGTTCAGTAGGAAAATTTACCTGTATTTGACTTTGCCATTAACTATTCCCTACAGTTCAGACACTGTAATTTCATGTATATTTGTAGATTTTTATGTGCTAGAGATATGATTATATTATCTAGAAAAGATTATCTTAATATTCCATTGCTCTATAAAACTTTTCACTCACATGGTTTCTAATATAGCCATTTTATTTTAGCACTTTTGTCTTTTTTATTCTAGAAATAGCTGATTTATTAGCTGGTTCCTTAACTGGTCTTAGAAGCCATTCTTTAGCATCTTACTGCTTCTTTTATTAATTAAAATGTTTGACATAAGTTCATTTCCATACTGGTAGTGTAAGGATGCCTCGTTTTCAAAGAAGCTTTTGGTATATATATATATTTTTTGTATGATGTGAAAGAGTAAGAAATGTGTTCGTACTTTGTGTAGTATATAACTAAATGTAAATGCTAAGTAGATATGTATTAGATCATCTTATTTCCTAAAAGCTTAGTTATTTTAAATGGACCCAAACCTCTTCTCTGTTCACCCTGTCTGGGGAAGCAATTGGTAAAAGTGAGAGCAGAAAGTTCAACCTTTTAGAAACAAGATCTTGGGATAGAGAGCCGGCAGGTACCGAATACTAAGCAACTTGTACTTTTTCTGTGTAAGTGAGGGGAGTTATTGAAGTGTTTTAAGCTGGTGTGATTTCTAAAAGCTGCTTTGACAGGAAAATGCACAGCACCCGTTGAAACTCTACTCTAAGGTTCAGGTTGCACCCAATGAGGGCTGGAGGGAGGGTTAAACCATGATAATAATGATAATAATAATAATAGTAATAAAGAAGTAAAGTCAAATTTAAAGTCCAATCTGCAAAACCTGATAGTGATTTCACTTTGAAGAGGCAAAAGCAGGAGAAATCAGAAATGACTCTATGTCCTGGTTTCAATGATGGGGAAATAGAGGAAGTATTAACTGCAACAGGAACACAGAAGGTAGTAGGGTGGTGGGTGGGTCCACTATAGGACCCATTATAAAAATGATGGGCCTACCAGCATTTCTGTTTTAAATTGGTAGTTGCCCCTTTAAGATCCTGCCCTTCCCCCTTAACCCACCCAGGCCCCTGCTGGATTTCCCTGCCCTAATTTACTGTCAGCGCCACAGCTTCTGAGCATGCTCTGAAGAAAGAGCTGGTCTAATTTAAGCTCTCCTGAGGTTCAAGGAATTGCATCTGTGGCTCTTAGCAGAGTTCCATTTTGAGAGCATATTTCCCCCATATGACTATTCTCTCATTTTTCTTTTCCTTAAATCTTTTCTACCATCATTTTATATAGTACTTTCATGCTTCTATTATAACTCAGGAATAATGAACATATGGGTGTATTTTTTGATAATAAAAATAAAATATTTAGAATAGGTGTCTATCACACTTTTTGGGCAACAAACAGAAAAGAAAATATCAGCTGTATCTGTTAGGCTATACAAAGCTTGGACGCAAACATAATCATTATGATCTTTCTGTTGTTGTTACAAAACTCCCACACCTAACCACTGTGTCATGTCTTTTGCTTCATTGGTAATTGGTGTCCCAGATGGCTGCTGAAATTTGGTATGCAAGATAATAGACGTCATGTATGCTAAGTATTGTTCCAATTCCTTGGAAATCAGCAGCGTATACCAGTCTAAATATACCCTCAGTTACTGTATTTCATTTTGTATTTTTAAACTATTTTTCTTTTGTCTAAAGCTTCATGCAGCATGGCTTGCCACAACAATGTATCTTAATAAAGATAGCCAAAGTATAAATATCTCTGGAAATATTAAGCTAATAGAATATAGCAGATAAAATAGTAATGATAAGATTTAGTGGACAGATGCCTGGGAGAAAGACAAGAAGACTGAAAGAAGTCAGGGAATGGAAAAGAAAATAGAATTAACAATGAGGTCGACTTATTTCTTATCTGTCTTCTCAGATCAGATAAGACCTCTAAATAGCTATTATTTAGAACAATTGTCTAGGAAGAAAACACTAAAATAGACATGTTTGATATGGAGAAATTAGTCATTTCCATGTCCCAAACC